CCCATTCTCTTGCCCAGCACCAGTGGGTTCCCCCACCCCATAATGCAGTCTATTCATGGAGCCAAGCCGGGTGCGTTCATGTGGTGTCGAACTTTGATCAAGGGCCACAGAAGGAGGATCTCTTGGAATATCCCGTTCACAGCCTGCAGCGGGGAGGATGTCCGTTTGTTCCAGATGGCACGCTTGCAAGAAGGATGCCTTAAACCACTTAGAATGAGTGGCAAAAATCAGATTATCTGGTAGCCGATAACTGTAGCTATCAGGTTAGTTACAGTTCAGATCTATGAGCATTATTTATAAGAACCAGTTTATCGGGGGGAACTAACTGGAAATTTCTGTGCTGGGAATTTCCCCCCCAGATCAGTACACACTTAAGTTGTTCTCATAGCTTTTAGTGGTATGAAAATTAGACAGTTAGTAGGAAGGCAGACAGACAGCTGAATATTTTTTAAAATAAAGTATTACTGAATTGGGGGCTGGTAACAGAGAGGGGTCTGTAGAGAGGATCTCACAAGGAGTATGAGAGAAGGTACGACAGACGCAGGAGAGTGCCAGCGACTGGCGTTGGCGGCGCAGTCCTGTATGAGGACAGAAAACAAAAGCTCATCTCTTGGAAGGACATATCAGTAGATTTCCACCACGCGACCAGCCAAGAAGAAGTGAGTACTACTGTTGAGACCTGTACACTCTTAACATGAATTTACAGAGTCATGATGGACTTGCTTTAGACAGACATGGGGGAAACTAATTGTGAGACCCACCAAGGATTTCCTCAATGCCAAAGAACAAGGAACAAGGAGCAGGCCTGCACAGCTGTGCTAAAGGAGTTATCCATTCTCCTAATCGAATCTGGATGTGATGTGTAAGTGTGCTTACACACCTTGCCAGTGGTAAAATATGAAACGCAGTAAAACACAAGATAATCTGGTTATTATTTTCAGAACAACTTTCTGGACTGGAGAAGCAATCATATACAATCACAGCTTCTTACTCTTTTGAACCAAATCCTAGCACTCTATATTAAAGAAGTTTCCTTCTTTCCTAAGAAAGAGACCTGTTATCCAAACATTTCAGAAGGGTTCACAATTGCTGCAGCCAGCAAGTAACTGTGGACCCTTCCTTTCTCTTGTGCCACAGCATCCCAGCTAGTAAGGATTTGATTGTTCTTCTCGAGAAAAGCTCAGACATTAATGTCATATTTCCCTTTAAATTGAAACCATTAGATATATTTTTCAAGGGTCCTGGGCAGGCAAAACAGGCAACTCCTAGTTCAAAAGTTAGAAGAGGGAAAATAATTATCTTTATGAAGGTATAAGTAAATTTGTATTTATCTGGCAATGGAAGATCCAAGAATTTGATTTTGCCAAGATGTTACTAGACCAGAGATAAGAATAACTGTTGTAGCTGACATGCCTTCTCTTGCAACAAACATAGGTCTGCCTTCAAAAAATGGCACACAACAATCACCAAATAATCATAACATGAATGCAATTGTTTATGGTTATTTAATTGTCTGTACTTAGAGTTATTAGAGGACAGGGGTTTATCCATTCTTTTTCCATTTTCAGTACAAATCCTGCAGGTATATGGAATTTTGAACTCAAAGATGAATTTGTTGATGATTTGTTATTGAAGGCAGAGATTTCTTCTCTCCCTGAGTGCAAATTGTAATAGAAATAAGGTATATGTTTTATTTTTAAGATATTTTTTGAAGACAGCGCTCCCAAAAAATTGTAAGACAGTAATAAAACGTTTGTAGTAATAAATTTCTTAGCTTCATTGAAAATATTTATGTAACTGCAGAAAGATTTTGAATTTCTAATCATCCCAATATATAAACCAGACCTTTTAAGTTTGGTAGTAAACTAGGCCATACTCTAGCCATATCTAAACTCCATTCTAAATGTTTTTTGTAAAACAGAGTCTAGCACTTGCAAACCGAATAACTTAAAAAAAAAAAAAAATCTTGTGTGTAGAGTGTAGATGAGATGCATTGATTACTATGCAGTACAAGGGATATTAGCAGGTAGCAACTGGGATCTGATCTCTAGATTTTAGAAGTCTTGGGGTATACTTAAAACTTGTTACTCTAAATTGTAGCTATTATGCCCAGTCCTATATTTAAGCTTAGATTTTCACTTCCATTTGTACAGAATGGTATTGTTCCAGCTGATGCTGATGATAAGTATATATCAAAAAAACATCCCTGAAGACGAGAATATGCCCTGCAGGTATGACCTGCAGCTTCGTTGAAATTCAGGTAGCAGGTTTGATTCTAAAAATGACACATTTCTTTCAAAGCAGAGGGCAGCGATTGACCCATATTTTTAAAAAAACTTGTAGTTTATAATTTAAAGGCATGTTGGCGTGAAGGACCCCTGCCAAAAGAAGTTTCCCAGCATCAATAAGAATGAAAAAACATCATTTGAATATAAAAGTACACTTGAGTGTTGGGGGAATATTATGCAATTCAACAGACAGCAGTGACCTATCACAGCATTTCAAAATTTCATGAGGTTTCTTCAAGAGTCCTAAACTCTCAAGCAATCCTTGCAAGGTCCCCAGCAATCAACTTTCAAAGCTCTATTCTTCCACACTTCATTTTGAAACCATTTTTATCCAATTGAAGCTTACTTTTTTACAGTCATGTGAATAGGGTTTTTTGCTGATGTCTCTCAATGTAGACATAGAAAAAAAATCTTTTTGAGTCTGCGATTTGGGGGGGTGAACGGAGGGAAGAACAATCTTCTGATTCACAGTGGAGAATGATGAGGATTTAACCCTCAACAAACTGTTGTTCCTTGCTGAAACTCAGCAATGAGCAAAAGAAAGCAAGAGGCTGCTCAGGAGCACGTCAGCTCCTCCATCACATCGCTGAGTGCATTGCGCTGGTGGGTGTCCATGGAGCTTGTCAAGGAAGGATGTGCAAGAGATGGAGACCTAGGTGTCACCTAGGGATGAAGGAGCTCATCCTGACTGGAGAGAAGCAGTCTTACATGGGTTTGAATGAAGCTTGCCTCCACCCCAAACAAATAATTCAAAACCCAGGCTGTAAGTGACTCCCTCTTTTCCTGCCTCTCTGGCTGGGCCTGGGAAGCTCTTCTCCAGCAGCATTGCTCCTCAGGCTTTCTGTACTCCTGAACAAGAATTTTTGGGTGAATTTTCTGGTTAGCTGATAAATTCCCAAACAGCTCTTTCTATAGGACCTCATCCCATTGAACTTACTTAGAAAGAATGAACAACAAATGCATCATACCTGAAAGCAAGAGATTCTGACCCTATTCAAATTAAGGAGGTGTAAATATGGAGGAAAGAAGAGTCCAATGGTCAGGGCACTAGCTAGGAATGCACAGCCTTTCTCAAAACCTGCCTCTGCTGTAGCTGTCTTGTAAGATCAAGATAAGCAAAATTAAATTAAACTCTCAGTGCAAGAATATGTCATCTGTAAACAGGATAAAAAGGCTTCCTTTCCTCACAGAAACACTTACAAGTGCTTTAAAGATGAGGAGGCAGCTCAGAGCACTTTGGTAATTACTAAATACAAAAGTACCGAGAGGACTTTTGGTAACCAGGCATCTCTGAAAACCAAAGTTGTTTGCTTTGTAGAGGCAGCAGTGGTGCAGGTGGTTTTAAAGTAGCTTTTAAAAAGCCTTGGTAAGTTTAGTTTCCCAGATAATCCAGCTGACACTCTCCCACCACCGAGCCTGCCAGTTCTGTGGGTTGTATAGTTAGCAATGTTTGAAGCTGAGTTACAACTACCCACAGGCTGAACAAAAGAGCTATCAAAATTATTTCACATAAAACTCCTGGTTTTACTCCAAGTAGATTCCCTTAAAGAAAGTAGTACTTCTTAGCTTTCAATAAACCCATATTTTTATACTTCAATGTCCTGGTTGCCAGCTCTGATCATAATCCGTAAAACTTGTTATGCTTTCCTAAAGCTCCAGGTATTGAAGACAAATAACTATGCAAGAGTTATAACATCCATGTAAAAGTAGTAATAGTTTTCTAAGCCCTTGTGCCTGCACAGGAATCACTCATTCCAATGGTTTAAAGTTGATGGTCTAATACCTCAGCATGTGGAGACCACCCACGATTAGGAAAACCTGAGGAAGGCAACCCTGAAATTTTATCCAGATGATCCAAAGGACCAAGTTCATGCTGCTCTCATTCTGTTATGTAAATGATGTAAAGACCCTTGTTACATAAGACAGTGGAGTCACCCCAGGGACTGATTTGGCACAGTGCCCTCGGTGTGTGGTTTGGGTGGAACCGAGCAGCTCCACGGAGATACCGCTGCAAACTAGCTCTTTCCAGGGACTCTTTGTTCTTGTATTCCTTCAGTGCCCTCTGCCACAAGCAAGACATTGCTTAGCAGTCGTGCCCTGCACCTATGCATGTCAGCATAAACTACTATGAAGTGAACTGACACCTTCCATTCTTTGAGGTTAAAATCTGCTTATTCATTTCTTTCATGTCGATCTTTGTTTCATTCTGTCTCCTTACTATACAAAACCCGTGCACTGGGAGATGAATCACTGAACTTCTGTTGCCTTTTAGCTCCTCTCTGTGAGTGTGTAAAGCACTACACCAGATGTTGAGTGTCCTAAATCACAGTTTCTATAGCTAAATCCACATTTCATAGGAGGTGTAGACCATGGTATCCCTGGGTCCTAATCAGTCCCCCCACTGTCCAGATCATCACACAGCTGGAGAGCTCAGAACTGGGGGTCATTCCTGGGGCCACAAGGTAAGCTGTAGTTTATGCTTAACATAGATTCTTTAACAGACTATATGCATAAAATAAAAACAGTATTTTAGCAATAAATGTGATTTGTAACCATAGCACACCAGTCTGTTGAATCTCAAGTCTAAACATAACCAACAGATGAGGACTCTCAAAGGAATTAAGATGGTTAACTAAGGAGTCAGAAATTAATATAAAATAAAGCTATTAAATACTTCATATTAGACAAATGTTTGCGATCTAACATCCTTACCGCAGTGTCATTGGTGGTAATATACACCAACACATCCGAGTTGTTTCTGCCATTAATGTATCGGTAACAGTTCCACACGCAGCTTATCAAGTAACCCTGCAAAGAGAAGGGATTTATTATTCTGTGCAGAAAATAAGCCATATACATTTTTCTGTTGGAACATTTCTGTTCTTACATAAATAAGAATATGAGCCTGATAGAAGCACAGGACAGTCACTTTGCTGGTTGCAGTGACTGTAAGTATGTGTAGGGGCTCTGTGAGTAATCCAACACTGTTCCTCGTACTGATAGAGTTGGGGTTGTTCAGTCTCGAGAAGAGAAGGCTCCGGGGAGACCTTACTGTGGCCTTTCAATATATAAAGGGGGCTTATAAGAAAGGTGGAGAGACATTTTCCAAGGCCTGTAGTGACAGGACAAGAGGCAATGGTTTTAAACTGAAAGAGGATAGATTTAAATTGGACACAAAGAAGAAACTTTTAACGATGAGGGTGGTGAGACACTGAAACAGGTTGCCCAGAGAAATTGTGGACGCCCCATCCCTGGAGGTGTTCAAGGTCAGGTTGGATGGGGCTTTGAGCAATCTGGTCTAGTGAAAGATGTCCCTGCCCGCAGCAGGAGGGTTGGACTAGATGATCTTTAAAGGTCCCTTCCAACCCAAACCTGTGATTATATGGTTCTGTGATTATGGATACTTGTGTTGCACTAAGAGCCATCCATCTAGGCAGAGATACTGCAATCTAGACCTATCTGAATAAAGTTTACTATTCCAGATATTTAATATTACAGCATACTTAATGTAGACTAATTGTTTTGAAAAGAAACAGTTTCTTTGGGCCTGAATATAGCTAAAGTAGCATCATTTTGTGTATATAACCTCCATTTTACTTAAACGAGCAGGTCACATATGCTGGCTTTCTTTCTTACACCTCTTTAGAAATATAGAGAGGTATGAGTTCAGTCAGACACCTCGTTACTGTGCATGGGATACTGCATACCAGCAGGGGTGAGTTTTACAACATAAAATGAATGTATAAGTTAGACTGGGACAAAAAAGAGAAGGTGCTGCAGATGCAGAATATCTCAGGAACAGCAGCAAAAAGTAAATGGAAACCAGTTTTAGATTCCTCGATTGTAAGGATGTTTAAATATCGTCAACTGGGGGCTAGTAGTATTAGAAAGTGGAAGCAAACCCCAGTAAAAAGAGCACAAGCACACTGAGGACTAAAGAATCATCAAGCAAATTACAGGAGACCTTCCTTGTCCAGTGAGTGGAAGCCTGGCCAATGACTATGTGATGATCCTACATATCACCTGCATTGTTTCAATACTCTGTTTCACTTAATCTGACATTAAATCAATGTATTCCATATGACTGGAATGGTCTGGGGTCTTCCTATTCTTGCCTGACTAGAGAAAATTGCCAGTGTAAAAGTTTTTATTGAAATCTGAAATTATTTCTGACCTTTTAACCGTTATTACAAAGACTTAATTTTTTTCAGTATAAAGCAAAAAATCCTGTTATTTCAGCAATAATCCTAGCGCAGGATCATAAACTTCACTAGTTTTGTTCTTCGAGCTGACTTGGCTCTGGATAGGGCTGCTGCCTGGCAAACAACTAGTTGTCTCCACTTTTTTTTAACTGGTTGGGCAAAGTGCTCACATCCATCGTCTCCTTCACCAGCAGGAGAGATTCCAGTTTGGCCAGCAGATATGAGCGAAGTGTTTGGAAGGAAGACAGGAGACAGTAACACATGTGGAGAAGCAGAAGTCAGATCGTCAGCATGCCAGGGACAAGGCTGGTGGGACCAAGTTCCCTCTGGAGCTTTCTGCTTCCCACGTAGTCACACACAACAGTGATGAGGAGAACAATGTGTTTTTGATAGTGCCCAACTTATATTTTTACTTAGTAGGTTCTGCATAGCAGTTCTTTCACAAACCTAGTGCGTGCAAATTAAACTGCCAGGGCTGATTGGATTTGCATGTGTGTCTCACTCTGAATGAGTCATATTTTTGTGACTCACTTGCACTGATGACCTTCCAAAAGCCTCTTATTCTTTTGAGCTGCCCTGTGCTTCCTCCCTCTCCAGAGCTGTCACACATGAGCTGTGTTTTTCAGGATGCCACATGACTCACTGATGGCTTGCTTGCAGATCAGGAAGAGTTTTTTTCCACCGGGGCTGAGTTTGCTGAAGTCCAGTAAGTTTGTTTCCTCTTCTTTACAGCATGTTACAGACCCTGGATGACTTGGAGGTGTCGCAGGCTTTGACAATACTTTTGACCATCAAATGGGGAGAGCAAAAGGCTTCTGGAGTGAGATGAGTCCCAAGGGAAGGTTAGACTGGCTCTACAGCCTGAGCTGTGGGCTATGCAAACCTGCCCCAGGCTGCTGAAAAATGTGGAGTAAAGGCACATACATGCAGAACTGCAACTTTTCCAGAATTAAATAAAATACCATTGTTAATTATAAATAGTAATAAGTAGTTCAGTAGCTTTCAATGCTCAGATACTATGCGCTGAGAAAGGCTAAGAGCTAGTACAGAACAGAGACTGAATACAGCACACTTCTGTGGGGACACAGCCCGTCCTTCTAAGAAACCCTTTACATTAAGCCTAACTATTTGCAAACCAATTTCTACACTCCTTCTGTCAAAATCCAAACTGAGGAAAGCCCTGTTTCAGATAATACAGTCTTATCTGGGAGAAGCTAGTGGAAGATTTATTTTTGAATGCTCCCATTCCATTACATGTGGTGAATAAAACACATTTAACCCCACAATGAACACCTACGGCTCTTCCAGCTCTGAGCCCTAGCTCTAATCAGCCCTGCTCCTGCATGCATGGGCTGTTTCTCTGTGGGTGAGGTCAGTTCCAGCCCTTGAATTAAAGAGGTCATCAGCCAGCACACAGCAAGTAATTGGCCCCCAGACACTGACCCACATACAGCCGAGAGTGGCAGCAGCTGGGAGCATAACCTTGTCCAAGTGCTTTGGACATGTGCTGCTGGCCTGCTAATTGTCAGTCATGGAAACTCGTTTTCCTCAACCTGTAACTTCTTCTTTAAACTTGTTCCTCATCATTGTTTTCTACTGCTGCTGCTGCTGCACTGTTAAATGGGATTGCTGATTCAGTTACCAATTTTTTTCCTGAAAAACTTGGCTGAGGTTTCAAATACTGCTTTAAAATGTGTGGCTGGACATACAGTACGATTTTTCTCTCAGGAGACCAATGTTCACATTTGGAATAGGCCAGATGTAAAAGGCATTAAGTCGCTTCAGCCTAATCCTCCCCTAGTGGTATTCACACACCACAGCACAGGCTGCTGACAGACGCCTTTCGGGGGGGGCAGCCCCAATAGCCACCAAGTGAAAGGATGGCTGCGCAAGAAGGGCTGAGTGTGGAAACAGGCACCGTGCCTACTTCTACCAGCTTTCAGTCTTCCCCTTTGAATGGCGGGCAATGAGCCCCGAAGGAACTGAAACCCACAAAACTTTGTAACCCTGCCTCTCGCCGTTGCTATTGCATACGCACTTGTTAAGCTGCGTAACAACGGTAACGTACTGCAAGACTTCTGCTCATCAGACATGTGCCTGGCCAGCTGACTGACCAGCATCTTTGCGGAAATTAGAGGTTGCTGTATCCTGCTGTTTCTTGTAACGCAGCAAGGAAAAGTCTGTGGCAATCTGGGTCACAGCAGCCCTCTGGGCAGCTCCCTCGGTGGCAGCAAGTGCAGGGTGAATGCCGCAGACCCAACAGAGCGCCCGCGGTTAGGAGCCGTCTGCACTGAGTCCCGTTTTATTCTCCAGCTGCTTTGAATTTTCTATTGGCAGAGCTGGGCTCGTCTTCAGTAACTGGTGAAAATGAGATAAAGATTTCTACACAGACTGATATTTATATGAAGATTTCAGAGGGATGCTAATGGCAGACCTGTTGGCGACGTGTATTTCACATGTTGGTGCTGCAGAAGGAGAAACAATGGGTTGCTGTGCTGATGAAATCTGCAATTACATCCATCTTCTCAGCACACTAGAATGTGTATGTTGTGAGTATAAAAAGGCTGTACAAGAACCACTCCTTATAACTGCAAAGAAATACTGTGATTGAAAAGAATGAATGATGTCAGACCAAACCACTGGCCTGCAACATTTTAAATGGCACCTTATATGGGCCAGGACACTATCTGTTGGCTCACAGTCACACATACTGGGGTATGCAATTTAAAGCAAATGACCCCTGCTTTAGACACGCTTCTCCTATAAGTACTCTGCCACCAGCAAGCCCAGTGCTGGGACCTGTCCCAGGCTTTCGTGGAACCGGTGGCAACCTCGTGGCTCTGTGTTGGCCATTCCTGGGAGCCAGGATCAGATCTTGGCTTTTGGGGCTGTGTTCATGGTCCCGACTGCTGCTCCATCGCCCCTGCGGGAAGGTAGCAGACACCGGGGCGAGGTGCTGCAGGTCAGGGTTCCCCCTGCCAGGAGGCATCCCCCTGGGCTGAGACACGAAATCTTTCAGGGTGCGCGCAGAACTTCATTCTGCATCACCCTCTCCCATCTGCTGAGGACATCAGGACATGCAGAGTGGTCTCATCTCCAGGCTCAACACCTTGTACACGCAGGTTATAGGCATATTATGGAGACCAGGGTTAATATTCAGTTTGCTGAAGACCAGCCTGTCTCACTGAACTGGAATACCTTTCGGCTGCCCCGCTGGCAACTACCTCTTCCTACCTCCTTTCCAGAAAAAGAAAGGCCAAAAAAGAAGAGGAGAGGAGGCCGTGCTCTGCAGCTGCAGAGTGCTTAGGGCAGCCTGGGGAAAAGGTTTATTCTGGTTGTGTTTGGTCTCACTGAGCTTAGCTCATCTGGGGCTGGGGGGCTTTGCCCACAGTGGGGAGGGGGAGGTTGAAGCCTCAACCCTTCTGTCTCAGCAGCTGGGGCTGCCCAGAGGAAACCAAGGCCCTGTTCCCCAAACCAGCTGCAGAGGAGGGCGCGATTCAAAAGCCACTGTGTTGGCTATATGCCATTTGAAGTCCTGTGTACTTTTGTGCTGCTGGATGTCCTTCCTCAGCCAGATAGGAAACACCTATGGTTCATGGTATGTAACTCTGGTTCAGTTTCTAGACAAATATAGTAAATGGAATAACACATTTCAGTCTACTCTGAAAAAGATTCTGCGTGAAACTGCCTGAAATATCCATTAGCTGCTTCGGATCCAAGTAAATCCTAAGGACTAAAAAGACAAGTGCTTGTGTGTGGTTAGCTGGCTCGCTTTCTTACTGCCCTCTCTTGTCCCCCTTTCCTTTTCACAATCCCATGACTGCAAAGCACAAAACCACCATCTAATGCTGCTATATCTTGATTTCTGCTCAATAGTGTTTTCCTTTGCACATAGCTTCACCCAAAACAAAAGTATCATGATGCCAAATGTTTCTGAGGAATTATGTGATTCTGTTTTATATTTCCCACCAGCTGAATGCAGGTTTCCCTACTGTAGCTTTTCCTAGGTTACAATGTTTTGGTTTCTCTTCCTATTTCTAGTCGAACTCCAGAGGGAGAGGGAGCTCAAGCGTATTTTTATGCACAGTACCTTTTCAGTATATAAACGTGGTACCATCTGTTAAGTCTATCAGTGATAAAGTGTGATGCATCTGATAGTGTCCAGCTTTCTTTTCATGGAGCGGATTCCATAAATCTGCATAGCAGCTTTTCTGGAAACACAAGAAATTCAAAAGAAAATGCTAACTGGAAGTTAGCATGTGTTTCTGTATGAGTCATATTTTTGGTGACTCATTTGCACGATAATATGTTGCTAGAATGAACATTGTATGGGCCACATATACTCTTGGAAAAAAACATGTGTTAGCCGCTTTAAAATAAAATTACTCTTTTGCACTATTAATTTCTTAGGTTTCTTTTTTCTGTAGTAATTATTTTTGCCATTCCAATTTTAGTTGCATTTGTTTTATAAGCTTGAGACTTCCTTGCCATACTTAGTCAATGAAATACCAGACCGACCTGGGGTAAAAACAAGTTAATGCTTGCATCTGGGAATTTTAAAAAGCATGTCCCTTGTGTCACCTGACAGATCTATGTGTTTATTACATTCATACATATTTCTTAAAGGTGCAAACAAAATCAACTGTACGACTGTGAACATATATATGGACAAAGCCAGAAGGCTAAATTGTATTTCTAAATCACAAAAGAATAGTGAGTATCACTTCCAACAACACCTTAAAACACCTTATCTGTTTTTTTCAATCTTGAAGTAGCTTCAATAATCTAATCTACCTCTTTTGCCACCATAACATTCACTGTTCATGTTGCCAAATGTCTGTTCTGGAAGCAACATCCCTGGTGTCACTGTGGCTCTTTGGGACTTCTCTAATCTAATGTGTAATTGCTCTGCAGAGAAAGAGCAAGAACTATTCTGAAATAAAACCCAACATGAGAAATACAAGAACGGCAGCACTGAGCTGTGACAAACTTGCAGAAGGGTACAAGAAGAGGCCAAACATACCAGCATACTTTCCAAGAGGTCCAAGGCTCAGGGAACTAGTTGAGCCACAGGTGGTTGTTTTTCATCCATTGATTTGTCTGATCTTATTCTGAGCTCCTTTTAGACTTCTGCCCTGCACAGCAGGTGGGGGCCGACCTTGCTGGACCACGAACCTGGGTGCAATGGTTTCACATGAGCCCTTTCCAGCTGCGCTGGGCGATGGTACATCTCCCCTTCATCTGGTACCTGCCACCTCCAGCCCTCTCACCCGCGAGGTTTGTGTAACAGCAAATAAACCATCACTCCCTGTGCCCTTTACGCTGCCTGGTGTGACAGTCCTTTATGTTGTGTCTCCTAGGAGGGATTGTTTGGATCTATTTACCTGCTCTACAACGTCCTTTCTGAGATAGGGCACCAGAAGTGAATGCATGCTTCCAGATGCAGTAGGCATCAAAACTGGCAAAGAAATCTCTAGATTTCTGTTTTTTCTATTCCTTTCTTAATATTCTTAGCATTTGATTTACTTCTTTGACCAGAACTGAGTAGCAAACTAATATTTTCACAGGTCTATCTATTACAGCTACAAGATCCCTTTTTCAGGTGGTCATGCTTAGTTCAGAGTCCACTGCAGTGTTTGTGAAACAAGATGGTGCTTCCTCTGTGCCCACCACTTAGAATTTATCACCACTGAGTTTCTCTGCCATTTCATTGCTCAGTCACTCAGTGCCATGAGATCCTTCTGCAAAGCTTTCTTGGCTGATTGTTTTCCCTATTTTGAATGACAGTGCAAAAAAAATATTGTTGTTAAATTTCCTTCCCCTTCCCAGGTCTTTTATGAATGTACCGAACAGCATCAGTCTCACTGTTGTAAAGACCGATAATTTACCCTTATTCTCTATTTCCTAGCCACAGTCTGTGAGATGACCTTTCCTCTTGTCCCTACGCATTTTAGGGTGTTTTTTAAAGTCTTTGATGAGACACTGCCAAACACCTTTTGAAAAACCAAAAAGTCTGTATCAACAGGCTCTTCCTTGTCCAGTGGGTGACCCGCTCCTTCCAAGGATTTATGTGTCATGAGCTCCTCCTACAAGCATCATGCTTCCCCGTTGTGGCCTATATGCTCATGTGTTAGTCTATGAGATTTTCTGCTTTTTGTCCATAACGTTTATCACTTTGCTTTGTACAGCTGTCAGGCTGCCTGCTCTGTAGTTCCCTAGATCTATTCTAAAGCCAGGCCTCCCAGCAAGGGACATTCCACCCATGACCAGAAGTAAACTTAATACACAGTAATGCACTTACCTTAAAAGCCAAAATGATACTTATGAAAAGGAGGATAATGACAACCAGACACGTAGGGTTTACAGACATAATCTATTGGTGGGCTGCATAGGCAAAAATAAGCAAAACACTGTAAGTTAATATCATGAGTCATTTAAGAGCCATTCAATTAGTGCGCTCCATAATTAACAACTTGCAAAACTTGCTGTGATCTACTAAATAGGGAGCTCTCTGCACCAATAACCAGTTTCGGTAAGTTTGGCTGGAACAGACATTGCAAAGACTCAGCTGCCAAACGTCCACCGGAGGGCTGAGGGGTTTGCGTTTTGCTTTGTATGTGGTGTGGGCTGTCTTCTCCTCTGTGCTTGTGGGTTTTATATCTGACACAAACTAGCAAAGGACATCTCTCTGGGAGCTTTGCAGCAAGAAATCTGCCATCTTGGGCAATGGCAGGCAAGTCCTGTACTTATTAACTAATCATCTTATACTGGCACTGGTTGCCAAAGACCAGAGGCAGCTCCTTCCAGAAATTCAAAGCAGGAAAAGCTGGACAGCATGGTCCTTTCACCTAAATATTTGATCAGAAGACATTGAGTCTACTCTGCTCCATCTTATTTTGGCTAAATTTGGACTACTTCTCCAGGAGCACTTGTTAGTGCTGCTGTCTGAGTGCATGCCCCAAGGAATCATGAGTCCTACGGGGGGGCAATGTCATGATTTCAAATCGAAATGTGCTCCAGGTCCTTCTGTTATCTCATACATGAAATGGAGGTGACAAAATTAATCTTCCTACTTAGCGTAGGCTCTAGTGATTTACAATTGTGAAACACTTTTGGATCACTGGCTGAAAAACAACCTCTAAAAATGTTTTACTATATTTGTTATTGCTTCAAGAAAACACACCCTTTAAAATGAATGTTCCAAATCGTTTTGAAATATTGCAAGACACAAGTTCCTGTTTCAGTTAGAATAAACCATTGTTCACAGACAGAGCTGTTCTCCACAAAAGATAGCGCTGCTGCAACAGTAGCTCATTATAACTGAATGCATTAGCTCCTTCCACACACAACCCCCTTTTTCCTTACAGGTCTAATTAGTTAACCAGGCCAGCTCTGCATCTTTGTCAGGACAATTAACTAGACCGAGCTATAACTGTATTCTTGGCAATGATGGTGTAAATCCAGAGTAACCCCTTAATACCCTTTATACCAGAACTCAGTCCGCTGCATCAGGAAATTCTCCTTTTTTTGGACAGCTGCTAGTGAGAATAGCTCTTTATTTAGCGCTTCCATGAACTGTTCGGAGTGGTTAACATAAACAGCAGCTGTAACCGTTTGCAGTTAAAGGTTACATAAGCACATTTTCTGCTTCTTAACAGCAATGTTTCTGTTCCTGTACAGAATTTCATGGCTGAAGTTTTTAGCACGTTATCTTCTTTGTTGAGGTACAGCTTTTGTAGAAAACTTGCTATAATTCAGTAAGGTGCTTCTTTTTTTTTTTTTCCACAGAAGGTTATTGCTAAATATAGTGGATGCAATCACCCAGCGACCAAAAAAGCAAGAGTATATGCCAAGAAAAGATGCACTGAAAAATAAACACAAACCTTACATGCAGAAAATTTAAGTATTAATACCACAGCCTCCCCTCCTGCTTGCAGGAGGGAGGCCGTGCGCGTGGTTAGAAAGTCCAGTCAGTTAAGGACAGGTACAGTAAAACTGCCCCAAAACAAATTTTTAGCACTGTCCTACCATTAAAAAACTAGTCAAACTAGTTTGTGAATATAATAAAAACCTCCTAGTGAGGCTTTGGTCCTCCTATGCTCTGTTTTTTGGGGAGCAGTAACTGGTCAAAGACTGGATGACTGCATGCTGGGGTCTTGGCCATAACCTAATGGCCTGTTTCCAGACATCAACTCAACTGGGATTTGCATGGGGGCAAGAGGAGGGCGGGAAAATGACCAAGAAAGGTCCCGCTACCTTGAAGAGCAGGAACATCTGCTGGTGCCACGAGCCCTGGCCAAGTCTGGGAGCAGCATGTGCTGCAGAGCAGCGCCGGGCCCTCCCTTACATCAGCAGCGTTTCAGGCGAAAGGACAGTAATTCAGCACTGAAAGCAGCAAGCCAGGAGAGCACGAGGAGCAAATGCTGTGGTTTGTCCTCTTCACACTCAGCTTTCTGGATCTCTGTCCTGAAGAGATGTGAGGTGCAAGCAAGCCCCATTGAGATGGTGGGTGCTGCACCCATGTGGTGGTCAACCCTCCCACAGATGCCCAGGAGATCGTGGTGCAGGGCATGAAAACCAAAGCTGTCCCCTCCTGGGGCTTCCCAGCTTGCTCTGTGGAAGAAAAAGCTTTCGAGGCTGCAATGAATAGCCCAGGGGCAGCAGGTCAGTGTGGAAGAAACTCCCTTTGTTTGCCAACTGGACTGGTGGCACCTGCTGACCAGAAGACGTTTAATGCTGGCTTGCCCAGGCTGGCCTACGAGCCACCTAATCTGGACTCATAACTACAAACCTCTTCAGTGCAGCAAGAAAAGCAATTTATAAAACCTGCAGCTTTTGGCAAAGAAGCAGGAAAGATGATGGGAAGCATCTGCATCTGGCTCGCCTGGTGCAGGCACCATCATGGAGCTGGTGCCATCAGGAGGCCCTTGGGATCCTCCCATGGCAGCAGCTGCTCCCAAAATCTCATTCACTCCCACAGAAAACGGGTACCAACAGTGGTTCAGATGAATCAAAGACCCATTGCCCTCTACGGACTGCAGTGATAAGCTTAAACACCGATGTGGGTGTATGAGGTGGGAAGAGAAATTCTGCTCCTGTGCTGGGAGTTTGCTCTCCTGTGGGGAGACCAGTAGTTGAAATCCTGCTGCTGGGAAGGCCCCGGGCACCCGGCTCAGTGCTGCAACCTCTGGGAAAAAGCTCAGTGTCAAATGTTGTGCAAGGTTTGATGAAGCTGAGACTGAAGTATGGTGGGGTGGGAAAAATCAAGCCTGGAAATACAGGCGTGATTTTGCAGCGGGACATGATGAAATTTTCTATACAAACAAGAGGTAGGTGTAGTGATGTGGCACTGGCATGCTAAAGTCATAATTAAAGTGTCATTTAAAACCTTGTCATGGACATGGAGAGGGCTGCATGCATAGTGATACACCTGGTAAACTTTCACTTTAAAAAAAATACTGCTTATACATAGCAAAACTCTATTAGACACTTTAAAAGAATCTAAAACTTGCATGAAAAATATATTTCTACTGCATTGATATTGTACAAATTGTCCAAGGCTGAAGCCCTTTCTCATCCTCTCAGCCTGCTTGCATAACCTTTCACATTTTCCTTCCCCTTGGACCACAAAAGATCCACTTTAAAAGGTGGTGTGGATTCTCATTCAACAGTTACGATGCTCCGAGTGCCAGAATCTTACAAAATTGAAAGAAAACAGTAATGTGTCTGTAGAATTTTTAAAGCTCTGCTATGAAGTTAGTAGTAGTTCTTCTTTGGAATTATAAAATGGCATTAAAAATGACAGAAAAGATATTCCTTCTTTAAGCTTTAGTTTATATGAAAAATTTCTTTAGGTTTAATCTCTTTTATGTTCTCTAGTCGTTTCCCCTAGGATTTAAAAGCATGACTGATATCACCTGAATTGTTAGACAGCAGCATTGCAGGTAGTCCCATAGTAAAGCTATTTAATATACTTTGCAATTTTCTTTAGATGAACTGTAATAGTCCTGTACTTTAATAAAAGACAAGTTTGCATAACTCAGTTGCAGACTAGCCTGTTCTGCACCTCTGCTTCAATTCATTTTATATACTGTTATCAGATGACAGAAGATGAAGTGTTTAATTTGAAGGCTTTAGAAAGCCCATATATCGAAGATCTAGTGGAGATAAAGAAGTGTGCTTTAGATCAAACTGCTTTAGACCACTACTGCTCCAAGAACCAAAATGATTTTTATTTTACACATGCTGGATTTACCGTATGTGAAGGTTTTCGTTTTTCTAGTGACAGTGATAATGACCAAGATGTCTAACATAACCCTTAGAAAGTTTTATCACATGTGGTCGCCAGTAGAACATTTCAAATGCTAGATTTGTAACATCTACTTATTTTACATGACCATTCATGCTGAGATGCTCTTGCAATTTATGGGAATTAGGTGGCACACCTGCGTGCAACTGGGTATTAAAAGGCAATAAAAAGTTTCCAAAGACACTTGTGCCTCTGAAAGAAGCAGCCAATATAGGCTGACAGTACCAAATACCCTGTGAACACAATGTTCTGTGTTTTAGAACTGCAACATTTTCAGCTAGGGCTCTGCCTACTCTATTGACAGGTACTCATTTATCATCTTGCTAAAAGTACATGGAGCTTGCATGTAAAAGTACACAGTAGTTTGCAACTCACCACCGATAGACTGAAATCTGGCAGATGTGCACCAAAGTGAATAGGTAACATAATTCCAGATACTATTTTTTTTAGGGAAATAGAAATGGTTAAAAACATGGGGTTCTGACCTTAGAGCAAGGAAAAAATGTTCTTCTGAGACTGCCAAATATATTCCATTACCTAATGCATACTTCCTTCCAGGTACTCAATAATGGATATGAAGAAGAATTTGGATTTCTTATTTCCTTTACAGAGCTGTGCTCCCTAACATATCATTCCCCAAATTCAAAGCGGGTTTAGAGGAACAAAAGCTGTAAGAATGCCAGGAAGACACACAATCCCCTCCCTTGCTTTATGCCTACCTTGGCAGACCTCTGGAAAGGAAAGGGCAAGATGACTCTAGGGCTTATTTATAAATCGTCAGGAGGGATCGCACCCAACTGGCATGACTCAGGTCTCACCTTCGGGGACAAGGGTATTAAGTGCAGCCTTGTTCTAAACATGGTGTTTGAGACGAGAAACCTCTCTGCCATGAGTATTATTGAAAGGCAGGGAAACAAGTCCATGGGTACAAGCCTGTTTAACAATATTTGGGCGCTAACACTGCATTGATGGTGTTATTGCTAAAAATTTGAAAAGCTTGTTTTCAGTTTCATCTCATTGTGTGTCTGAGTATCTGATACAAGTGTTTGTGATCGTCACCTCTCCCTTTCGCTTTTGCCCACTTAGAGAGACTGTATTTGCTCTGAGCCAAATGTGACATCCTTTTGCCAACTGATGTGGCCCGTTTTTTTTTGCGGAGCCACTTGTGCTTGGGACCACAGCTAAGACACAGGAGGCATAAACAGCTTCAAAGCTGATGCAGAACAGCTTCAAAACAGCTTCAAAACTTTGTTGGACAGGTGACATTAACTGCACAAAATTCACCACAGCTCTTGGTAGTTGCTGCCAATCACTGATCTCCACTGTGAATGATAAAATAGAAATGCCTCCTTGTTTCTAAATGAACTTAACTTGGACTAGCTTTTAGCTAATCATTATTATGCCTCTCATCTAATTTAAACAGCCTTTTAATACCTCATTATTCTGCATATGAAAACTCTAATGGCATTACCTCTTGGCCTCCTTTCTTGGTAAATGAAGCAGGAAAAGCTGATTGTCTTTCGTCATACTACAATGTATCCAGCTTTTACATAGTTTTCGGAGGAACTTTTCTGCATGTTTTCTGACTTTTAAGCATGGTTCTTTACACCCAGAAACAAACAGGTGAAACCTATGTCACCAACTGAGAAGGGAAGTCTCCTCCCCATTATTATACATTGCTTGTTTTTATTGTCCACAAATCCTAAGAGCAGTTTTGGGGAACAGCAAAAAACCTGGGGACTCTTGTTTCGGCACTTAGTTCCCTAGATTGCTTACAGGGTCACTGCATCCCAGGTACAGTTGCCATACTGTATGCTCATTTATATTCTTCATTTTTTTACATTTTTTTGCATTTAGCAATGTAACATACATTAATGACTGAACTCAGGTTCTCAGTCTAGCTCACTCTGATTAATGGCTCTGCCCTTAGTGTTATTTACTTCATTAATCTCCGTGTCAGTGATAGGTTTTATTAGAAGTGATTTTGCCAGGAAAAGGCACAAGTACTGACTCTGGGAAATGCAGAGATGCGCACACTTTGAGCAATGCAGGGGTAGGGTCTTTCAGAGGATGACATGGAACAGCTGGATTAGGCTCCTGCTCGCAATCTCCCGCTAGAGGACTTGTTCCTTCTAAACAGCGAGCCTGGGGAAGCTCTCCCAGGGCTGACGTTAGCCTTTGTGAACAGCCTCTTGGGTACCAAGGTTATTAATGGAAGTCAGGAAGAGCATGAGACCTACTGCCGACTCCTGGAGACCTTCCTCTACCCAAAATAGAAACCCATTGGCAGATGGTCAGCTTGACCACGACCCTTTACAGTCTGTCAGCTAACCTCTTCTAATCCATTTGATACATCCTTTATTGACCTAGTACTTTATTGTTGCTCTGAGTATCATGCTGCGAAGTCACACGTCTTACAAAAGTCTATTATGCCCCTGCCCATCTTTATTGACAAAGTCAGTAATCTTGTCAGTAAAAGAAAATGAGTTTGTCTGCAGGACTGATTTTCCGTGAAACCGTGCTGGCAGTCATTAATCATGTTCCTCTCTTCTAATCCTTTATCAATTGACTCTCATCTCAGCACTTCTGTTATTCTGCTTGGTAGCAATGTCAGGCTAATCAGCCTATAATTATCCCCCTTGCCCTTTTGAGCATTGACAGTTTAGCACTCCTGAAGTCTTGCGGCATTTCTTTACCAGTCCGGAAAATGATTTACAACAGCAAGACTAAGATGTGTGCAAGCAGAGGTTTTAACGCTCCAGAGCAGCAACACGGCTCACAAAGTGCTCTGCTGCACCGTTCCCAATACCTTCCAAGGCCGGCTCCTTGTATTTCTGCTACGGAAGGCCCTATTATTTTTTTATCTGCAGGAACAACATGTTTTAGCAGACATTTTGAGAGAATCAGCTGCTCTTTGGCCTCCTGGTGAGCCAGCTCCCGATGTGGCACCAGGTTTTCAGCAGAAGAGCAGGGGCTCTTCGATGCACAGCTCCCAGTCCGCTCCCATCCCCTCACGTTCTCGCACAGTGACCAAGACTGTGCAAAACCTGGTTACAACTCATGCTCTGGGAAGGGGGGGCAGTTCCTGCAGCCACACAGACGCTTGCGCTGCCACAAAAGAAGGGCTGGCACCGCTGCAGAAGCGAGGGACTGCGGGCGAAGGATGGGCAGGAGGGCTCCAGCCAGCGGCAGTGCCAGCTTCAAGCACTCGCCAAGCTGTGGCCGTAATTTGTTCTTTTCCACTCATACCTCTGAGAACCTTCTGAATTTTTCCTCTGATTCTCTTCCAGGGTAGCATCAGCCGTGGATGCAGGCGGGTGTTAAATAAGGCAAAGGATAACAGGCCCCTGATACATCCCAGCTCCCGCTGGCTTGACACATTGCCTCTTCCTGCAGATTTGTGTGGCTACTTATCTGCCTGCTGTTTCTCATTACCTGTTATTTATACTGCCCTAGCTAGTTTTCCATCCACATAACACAGTTCACAGCAAAGCTAATCTGTGTTCAGGTTCTCAAGGCAGATTTTCAGACACAGCGGCAGCGTTAGCTTCTCCCAGAGCTCTGCAACTCCACCTGAACCTTGTCGGTCGTGGCACATGGTCCTGTGATGAGACAGAGGCTGATGGGCTCTTGTCTTTGCTGTAGGTGGTTGCAATCACATCCTGTAAGCTTGCACAATACTGGCTATGAATGTTTGGCCAAAGTAGACCATGGCAGGAAGGCAGCCTCTAACTGTCCCTAAGACAGAATCCGATAATATTTTCTAGCAAAAACAAACCTACATTGAATCAAACTCCTGCCTAATGAAATCTCTGTTAAGGCCACCAAATAAATTAAAAGGAGCAACAAAACATCCTTGAAATAGCACCGAAAATAAGCCACTGGATATGAACAGAATAACTCTGAATCCAAAAGCAATTACTTATTATCTATGTCTTGCAATATGAGTCTCATTCTAAATGAAGTGGTGCTGAGAGCTTTCACAACATTGCAAAACTCCAGAGCTCTGCACAAATATTTTAATAAGTTAGTAATGCAACCTTGTAAGGATGTTGACCACAGACTAGCAAGGACTGAGACGACTTCTCAAGGGCTGCATAGGAAGTCAACAATAAACCATTGGCTAGAAATACAGGACAAACTGTGCACCTTGCACAGTGTTTTCCCCCGAAGTCCCCAAAGGCTTGTGAACGTCAAGTGATTTACCAGTTGGCGGAGGTAGTCCTGAATTGTGCTGGGATAGACGAGTACGCTGATGGCAACCAACGTGTTGAGAGCAAAGTCAAAGATCTGGTAACAGAAGAAAGGGATGATCCAAGCCGCATGTTGCTAAAAAGGAAATAAATTAAAAACTCATCAGCCACAAGTTAAAATAGAAGGATATGTGTCTTTCTGCACTAAAATCTAAGGAATATTTGACACAATGCATTACATTTCATGAAGCCATAAGAGAAAAGAACTTGTTAAATCAGCTAAAAGAAATACGACATTCAGCCAAAAGGGGTTGGCCAAGCCAGCTTGGCTGCTGAACTGCAGTAATATGTGTGGTGTAAGTAAGTCCCACGACTTGTTATACTGGGATATTTAGAAACCACATGATACTCTTTTTCCCCCTAATTAATAGGATTAATATTGGGAAAAATCACAGGCTTGGGAGGTGAATGGGAAAAAGAATCCCTTAATTTTGGTAGGAACAAGATTTAGTTCTCTGAATTCAGAGTTTGCCCAGAGCTTACTCATATTTGAAACTACAGACAGTCAACACAACTGGGCAGTCCTCCTGCCTGCGGCACGGGGCCCTGGGATACCCCTGGTCTAAGCAATCAGTTCTGCTGCCTCTTTGACTTTTTTTCCCCCTCTCAGTTTTCAGCTAAACGACTAAACAAGAAATTGTTAGAAAACAATTTTCTTAATTTTGTTTCTACAGAGTTGTATAGGTCACTTGATTCATGTCTTCACCGAATATAATGAATTACCTTATATGCGCCATATGTAGCCATTGCACAGATCAGAATCATAAGAAGAGAAATTGCTGTGGCAATGCACATATCTGGAAGAGAAACACATCAAAATGATTGCAGATAAATTCAGAGCTTGGTTCAGTTATTTTGCCATCTACTTCATGCAGAGCATCTCAAAGGGCAGGGTGGGAAGTGGGGTGGAGATGGGGTCAGGTGCATCATTCAGCCACTGCTGGAGGAAATCTCTGGCTCTTGTGGGAAACCTCCTAAATACAAGAAGCACAGACAGTGATTACACTGTGCAAGCCTCTGCAACCTCTATGAGGCTGAGGAGATGCAATGACTAATTTTTCTGAAGAATTTTCAAAAATCAGGAGCAGAGTTGACTAGAAGACTATTTTGCCCGTGATGATGACATCTGTAGTCAGAAAATGTCTACTTTTCTGCATTACAGATTGTTTTTGCACTCTAATAGCTGCTGTGTACTATTGCTTACATATCTCTAAAAACTTTGGAAAAGCAGAAATGAATTTTTAAAACCAAACTGGCAGGTAGAAGCATCTTAGAGCAGAAATAACATCTTGAAAATTTTCATTTCAACCAAGAATACTACAGAGATACACGGTTTATTAATGAAGACGTATAGCTGTCAGGAAAGGTGAAGTAGTAAAGGAAGCAAAATACTCTTTAAGGTTTTGATTGGAGTAATTACAGGACTCCTATCTTTTTCTTCTACTGCCGCTCAGCTTTCAATTAACTTTTCATTAGATTTAAGAAGTTCCTAAGCCACGAACAGCTGGAAGGAGATCCTGGGGGGAAGAAATGACATATGTTTGGTCTTTTCCTATAGACCTCCCTTGATACCATTACAGGCCATAGTCAGGATACCAGAAGTGTGTTTCTGAACCCAATCTTATAGTGAGTTTGGGAATGCAGCTGAACATTGCAACTACTGTTGCACAGACTGTCGCTGGCTGGTGACGGCATCTCCAGAGAGCGCTTATGTATGTTGGGCTACAGGCTCCTTGGGTACCGTGCCTACCAATGGCAGGATTAAGGATTTAGGAATCCAGGACTCCCCTTTCCCAGGACACAAGCAGTGTCCTGGGTTTCAGGACTCTTGCTCTCTCACTCTTGCCCCCAGATTTTGTCCTTGTGGTTGCATAGGGACTCCAATGCAACAGAATAAGCCCTATCGCAGGCTACTTCCTAATTTAATGGATGGGGCCCCTTTCCTGGGCACTTGGAGGAGCACGTTTAAACCACTATAGTCTGATGAGGGCCTGGAGTCCAGGTGTCCTTACTCACAGTGCAAATGTTTGAATCTTTCTCTTATTGTAAAAATAAGCAGGTCTCACCCAGGAGAGGCACCAGCACTCAGCGCTGAGGTTAGCTGCACCCCTGCGCTCGCTGCTTCCTACCCCGTCACTTTATGCAGCTCAGCTTGTGGGCGCTTGGAAATGCCATCAGGATGCAGCTGGGCTCCCTGCTTGTAATTCAGGAGGGAATGACATCTCAAATTGCATCTTCATCCAAAATTGCTCTTTAGAAGCACCTCCTTCACCTCTTTGTGCAGAGAATCAGGACATCCAGTGTAGGCAGAGCTGCATTGCCACGACCAGTCTCCAGCTTTTTAGGAGCTGTAAGGCTGTGCTGTGCCTGTTAGAGCTGATCTGAATTCTGCCCTCAAACGGAAGCACCCACAAAACAAACCCATACTGATACAAGGTACTGCAGCCTCTTCAGGCACTCTTATTTGTGTGGTACTTTACTCTGGCTGCCCACATACACCTTGTGAAATCAAAATTATTTTGAATAGACCAGGTACAATTGAAGTAATGAAAGAAAAGGAGAGACGTGGAAATGGCTGCCTGTAGACAACTGAACCTCTTATAAAAGAGGATCTTGGATCAATATTTTTATTTTAACCACCAGTTTGAAGGCACTGCTCGTGTATTTTTTCTGTCCGTTCTTAATCCCAGTCACCTACTCACTGTATCCAAGGGGAAGCTGCTGTCATCGTCATTTGCAGCAGATGCAGCAGTCACAGGCCTTGCTTTGCTCGTGACCATGGCAGTACTGGTTCAGAGCCAGAGCCTAGCAAACTGCGATAAACTTGACATTGAAGCTCTGGTCTGACACACTCGTGCTCCCCGTCTCCAGTGTCTCTCTAGCTGTGCTCTGCTGTGCCAAGTCCTAGTTGGCTCAGGCTGCTTCCTTCTCATTTAAGGCTTCATTGGGTTTTTTGAGCTGTGTCGGCTTCAATTAATGAGAATGAAACTAGATATATAGCACATTAAATGAGAAGCTAACAGGGGTGTGTGAATTTTTTTCCAGCCATGCTGTATTTTCTGTGGCATTCATGGCTAGAAGGGTGGTACTTGGACCGCTGCAGTGGTTATACAGCCTATTGTCCTAGACAGCCTTTTGAGTTTTCAGCTTGGTTTTAAAGAAACCAGTTGGGTTTTTTTCCTCTTATATCTTGCAGTGAGGTCCTACCTTCCTGCCACATCGGGGACAAGATGCTGCTGGGGCTGGGCAGAGCTCCTACTTGGGGTGCTTGCATGCATGGTAAGCTCTGAAGCTGGAGCTCCCTTGAACCCATCTCACAAGCATTTCCTTGCCTTCCCCTCTCCTCTTGCAGAGGAGGGTGGTGGTGGGTGCTGCGGGGACAGGGAGGAGCAGCCAGCACAGCCAGTCCCTGAGCCAGGACCTGTGTGGAGTGATGGAGACCTCAAATCCTCCAGCTCATCACCTGTCCCAGCCCTGGAGTTAATCGCTGGCTCACAGCTCCAACAGCAGAGGCCAGAAAGCTACAATCCTCAGGCAGATTGCAGCCTACAATCCTGAGGCAGTTTTGCCCACCCTCCTAGCCTTAATTGTCTAGCAGCCTGGCCTCCTTACTGCCAGCTAAGGATTACTGCTTTGCTCTCTCCTCCAAGCGGCTTGTGTGAGCTCGGTGCCGCTGCTGTGAGCCGCCGTGCAGCCTCCTCGGTCGCAACCTGTGCGGCGGTGGCATTTTCTCTCTAGCAAAGGAGGGAGGCCAATGAGAAGGAAAGAGCTTTCTGCACCTTTGAGCCCAGCTCATTTACTCCAGAGAATAAGGCTAGAGAGGAAGATGCAGCCCTGAATATTCTATGCTGGGGCAGGAATCTAGTTTTTTCGCCTCCCTGTGACATGGGGCTCATGCTACACGGGTGGTGTTGACGGATTGGGGCAGGAAGGGTATGTGCTCTACCCTTTACCCCCCACAGAAGTCCATGCCTGCTATCTGTAAGTTTTCTTATAAAAATATTTCTATTCAAATTAGTCTTTTTATGCCCCAGATGCATGTCACCTTCTGCAGAGAGACCATCTCTGCCCCGAGACCTCTGCTTGTCTCGTCTACCGGTCCCAGGGCAGGGACACAGGCTGATTTTGGCCTGAGTTGCTGACACCGGTGTCGAAGTTCCCATCATTTTCTATAGGGCATACATAGGATTTCAGTTCTAGCTGTCAACTTATGAAGTATCACACACATCTGTGACACTCTGAAGGCAGTAAATAAAGCCAAGCAAGACACGCTGCTTGTTCGGGCTGTTGACATGTCAGGATCACGGTCTGTGTATCTGGAGAAGCTGAGCAGGAGGCTCAGGTGAAACCCTCTGGGAAGTCAAAATGATTTATAAGGCTTTTCCATCTCCTGCCCAGACATTATTAGTCTTTTAACAGTAGCAGTATTACATCGGGCAGCTCACACGTTTCTAATTTTTCCTAGTCCAGCTTCTAGTTCATAAACTCCCTCAGGCCCTAAGGAAATAATAAAAAGAAAGATGAGACTAAATGGGCTCAGCTGAATATCCAGCACAGGAGGAAGCCCAGCGTTCTCCCCGGCTCCCAGATGTACGTCTCAGAGAGCCAGCCAAACCACACACGCTGGTGTCTTCCAGTACATCCATCTGCCGCATGGCAAGTCTTGGCAGATTATTTTCCCCCTTGTTTCCTTTTCTAGAATAGAAGGGAAAAGGTATAACCTAAAGCTTTTTCTAGGTGCTCAGGTAAATCCTTTCTCTGCTTAATCGAACAGGCATTTTGGAGCCTCTGGTAACGCCCTGGGAACCACGCTAAATCCTGAAAGTAAGGCTGAGCAGCCATTCGCAGAGGAACTGTTGCTGCACTGGCATTTTCAAGCAGTTTGCCCTAGACTGGCTCTGGCTCTGCACGTGGAAGGAACTTTTCCCACTGCTGGAACAGAAAATTGAAAATTCTTCATAAACCAGGCCTGAGCACAGCCAGAAATAAATATGAATACAAACATTGGGGGAATCCTGGTTTCTTGGAAGTCAAGGGAAATTGGTCATTAACTTCACGTTAACCATGATTCCACTACTATGACTCAGCTGATAAGTTTATTTCCAGTTGATATTTTCAGACGTTTTATGAAGGAGCCTATTTGAGGAGGGAGGGAAAGGGAGTGACAATTTTAGATGCAAAATCTGTGTCTGCATTCTTTTTTGGTTTGCTATTGATAGGAGCATCAAAAGTAATGATCAGAATAACATCTACTAGTATTTCCATCACTATTATTTGTCAACACAAGTACATATAGATAACAACTTTGGGACCTTCATTAGCATAAAAATTGATATTTCCTCCTGTATTTTGTATTTTGTATTTTTTGAAAGAATTTCAACACATGTAGCTAACCTGGGAAACATTTCTTCAAAAAAGACAAATAAAAGTAGGACAAGAGCATGTGAAAGTTTGTCTGATGTTTTATCTCGTAAGAAAATATTTTCTCAGATTTGAACAAATCTAGTCATACTTAAAGAAAAAAAGAAAAAAAAAAAATTATCTCCTGCCAGCTATTTCCACTAACTGTAAAAGCCAGGAGCTGGATTCAGCTGCCTTTACTCAGTAAGGCGTTAAACTGAAGGGAATCAAAGAATAAAAGGAGACATGAATTCAAATGTTCATTCGTAATTTAACTGCCTGTGAAATGTTCCCTTTACCGAATGGAAATGAGGTCGCTTGGCCCACAAGACATCCTTTTACAGTCTTGCAAGGTTCACTTCAGAAGCCTTGATAAAAAATATAGAAAATACAATTTTCAAGTGTAGATAGAAATCCCTGATGTACTTGATCTGACAGCTATTGCATTACAAAACAGAATTACTATTTCAAAGCCTTGGGCACTGGCAGGCCTCTGATGTCGGCTATATAAAACCACACTGACAGACAGTCATTACCAAGGTTAATCTCTGAGAATTAGGACAAGGCAGTCAGTTTTAATATGTCAGAATCAGCTAGGAGCCCATCCGTATCTACTATCGTCCTTACTTTCTTAAATCCAGTTATATAAAAAGATTTTTAGTTGGAAGTTGTAGGTGGTTTTTCAATGAAGACACAATAAAGTAGCAATTGTCCCTTATTATTAATTAAACGTAAGCCCTCAAGGCATATCTGCACTAAAGAACCTGTGGAAATAAGCATCCCTTAACTGATACCCAGCAGCTCTGACGCACCATGGGTGCAATTATTTTTCTCACGTGTGGGGCTACTCCTTTTCCTACTGATATTTTTATTGACTTCAGTAGGAATGAGGAAAGGACTTTGAGCCTTTTGCTGTGGATGGGTGTGATTCTGAGCAGCGAGACACCAGTGTAACTAGTAGGAGACCCTGTTTCAGATTACTGTAAGAAATGTTGAACGTAACAATCTTGTGAGCAGAAATGAAAATAAACAGACATTTTTATCAAAATCACATTGAGGGAAAACTTTTCTAGATACGAAGTAAACGGTTCAAGCAAATCAACAAACCAAATATCACCAAATAATTTGAAACAGTCATGGAAGAAAGAAGCATTTGCAAAGGACAGGAGGTTTTTGCAGGAGACATACATGGCCTGGCTCATCCTTCCCTGAAACTGTATTGAAGATTTCCTATGATGTCCTTTGGTGAGAGAAGGAAGCAGCCCTGTGTTATCACTAATAGGCCTATGACTATACAGTTAATATTTATACTTGCATCTATTACAACAGGTTTGTGCAAGTGCACATGGGGTGTGTGTAGATATGTACAACACGAATGAACACATTCAGCCAGTTACATAAATAGCCGTATGGGTTCTTATGCATGTACAGGCACTACTGGGCATGGTGCTGGGAGGTGCAGAGACTCCATATCTCCCTGTGTCTTGCAAAATCCCCCTGCGGCTTTCAGCATCGTGCTCGGGGATAACATCTCCATGTCAAGGGTTGGCTCTGCCCCTGCCAAGCCAGGACACAGCAAAGCAGATGGATTACTAATAGGTAACAGGTAAGGTTACTACTAGGTAACCAATTTGAACTGTGCCATGAATACAACTTTCACAATAAAAATGCATCTGTAAGATTCCAAGGTGAAGCGATAACTAAAGGACACTAATTACTGAAATGATAGGACAATTACATAAATGCTGGAGCAATGAGTGCTAGTGTTCAGGCAGTTTGTACTTACTGGCATCATCCATAAATTCAAATTCACCTCCTAATTCGGCACTGGTTAAGTGGTACTGGTCAGGATCGGTCAGGGCGCTCAGCAGAATCAGCAATACCACCGAATTGATAATCTATAGAGAGGAAAAAGGGAAAAGGGTCGGACTGTGAAAGTAATCTGTGGAAAAGCTCTGGGTAGGATATACTTGCCACACTCCATGCCAACTATGGAGTTCTTCGACTGTAAAACTGTAATATTTAACTAACACTGCAATTAGTTTCTCTGGGTTTGTGTAAACAGGACCTATGTCTTCCCCAGGTGATGGCAGGAAAATGAAACAAAATGTGGATTACCCCTTTTCGTTCCGACTCTCTCCCACACCATCAGACAACTCACCACTGCTCTTTCAGATTATAAAACATGTTAGCACATCCATTTGAGTTTGTTCTGTTGCAAAAACTAAAATCAATTAAAAACAATAGTTTCGAGATTATTACAAATAAGCGCTGTAGCCAAGGATTATTAGCATGGCAGAGCTGGAATCGGGGACAGGCCTGTGAAATTGTTAGATGATCAAAGAGGAGCTGATTTGCTGGAAGAGGCTGAATTTTAAATGAGGCCGTGAGTGACGAGCTGATTCACATGACCTGCTAAATCAGGAGGCCTTGGGGGGACGGGAGGTGGCAACGTGAGCCCAGTGTCTGATGCCCATGTTCCTGTGTCATATGGCACAGAGAGACATTCTCATATACTGAGGCCTTGGCTATGAAATGCAGTAAGTGAATTAAACACAAGAATATAGTATACTGTGATTCAGTAGAAGTGGATTGTCAGGTATCAGCTATGAGAGGAACACAGAGGTAGCCAAGAGCTATATTTTAAAGCAAATCTGAACAAAATGCTCATGTCACTTTGAAGTGAAGAGGGCTAATTGCAGAAAAGAAGATTGCTCAGCACAGAATAACACAGCCTGGCTAAAAGATTATTCTACAAAACTAGGAAGATAACTGAGGAACAGGAAAGTGGAGAGAAGAAAGCTGATAATACAGTATGCTGGGAAGGATGGATTTTTATTGCTTTGGTTCTCACTTTGAAGTCATCCTAATCTGATCACAGGTTACGAACAGCAACAAAAAGGTGTAGGAACACAGGCTACAAGAAGACATGAACAGGCTAAAGAATTTCTTGTGTAAGAAAAATACTTTTTGATAGGCAAATTCCATCAAGTTTAGCTGATACCGGATTTGTTAGCACTGACCTTTGAAAAATTGTTGAGAATAGATTGAGTTCACAAGACTTTTGCAAGCACAGTTTATGCCTTTACAAAGCAGAAAGGCCATATAAAGAATTTCTGGCTAGATTGTGAGATTTAAGAATAAAATAATCCCAAGAACAGATAATCAAGCATTCTCGCCATTAGCACTTCAAATCTGTATGGTCGTAACCAACAACCACCATGGGTTTGTCAAGGACAAACCGTAATGAATTAATCTTATTTTCCTTCTCTGACAGGTTAAGAGGCCTTGTGGACAGGGAAAAAGCAGTAGACACCATCTCTTTGCATCTCAGCAAGCCTTTTGACATTATGAGGTTCTCATAAATGAGCTAGGAAAACCTGGTTTCATTGAAAGTGCAGGAAGGTGAGGGCACAACCAGCTGGATAGATGTAATGAAATAATAGTTATCAAGGATTCACAGCCAGTGCAGAAGATATATTGATTAGGGTTCTCCAGTATTGTTGAAATACTTGGTATTTCAAGCCACTTGTGACTTGTATCTTTTCTTTATTTGCAGACAATGCCAAGCTGTAAGCATTTTAGGAGATAAGCTTAAAAAGATTTTGACGAACTATGGCAGAATTCAGACAATAAAGAACAATTCAGTAGCAACAAGCATAAAGCATCACATTTGTGACAAACTGCAGAAGAACAAGAGGAGAAATAACTGAGTAGGTAACAGTTCCTCAGAAAGGAGTCTAGGGATGACAGTGGGTAAACTGAACGTGACTCAGTGCCATCCATGGGCTCATCTCTGTGGCTGCATGGTGGTGGGCAGCACTGCAGAAACCTGGGTATTAGACACACAAGTCATCCTCCCACTCGCCCTCCACAGGGCCTCTTGTAGAAAGGGCCTAGCTAAAAGTCCTTTTAAAACGTATGAAGAAAAACCCTGGGGAGGGTCCTGCAACAGAACAGAGGGTGATCAGACATCTAGAAAGTGTGACTGACAGGGAAAAAAATGGATTGTTTAGTAAGGAGAAGGCGGAGGGAGATGCTCTCGGTCGTTTATATGCAGAAAGGTGAGGAAAAGGAGGAGGCAATAGACTTTCCTCAGGATCCACTGTGAGATGAGTAAAGTAACAGATTTAAATTACAGAAAAAGGAAATTTAGGTTAGGCAGCTTGCTGAAAAATAAGAACAATCAGACAGCAGAAGAGATTGTCTGGAGGGGGTTCGAGATCTTCATTACTGCATTTTTTCATAGAAGAGTTAAATAGCTTCGTGTTGGGAATGCTGTAGCCATAGATGGTCTTGGCTTGGCTTTGAAGACAGATGTGTGTCACGATTCAAAGTTATATAAATCCTACTAATTTTTAACATTTATAACTTTATATTGCAATCCAGTTCTTGCTTTATACTTTTTTGTGGAAAGCTAGATGCCAGTAATAAATATGTTACTTAAGGTGAGTACTTAAAATAACCAAGCAATCAGAAACTATAAATGTATATAGCGTTGCTATTTTAAAGGCACACAAGTTTAATCTTTTGTACAGATATAGTCAGGAAGATTCATAAAATACTGACCTAGGCACTCTACTTTCTCTATATGGATATGTCCAGATTCAGATTACGTGTTTGTCAGCATTGCCTTTAAGTCTCCGTATAAGACACGGATTGTGTTTGCCTGATCTGAAGTCTGCTGCGGTCAGTAGGAATCTCTCTAATGCTCTTTAGTGCATCATTTTTCTGTTCTATCAGGTTGTTCTCTTGAGGTTCTCATAATGATCTCTGAGCACCTTCCAACTGTGCTGTCAGCAGTGCAAGTGAAATACACCACGTGTTTATTTGCTCACCCTCTTTCTCCGAGAAGAAATATGTGCACAGTTGGGTGTATTGTATTTTTAGGGTTTTTTTTTTGTTTTGAAAGTGATGCGACCATTGAATTTTGAAAAATGCTGTAATGCATAAATTTAAGGTGCCTAAAAACTTACTGATGTAGCATTTTCCAAGGACACATAATCAAGGACAAGAGCATAAAGTGATTCCCTGTTGATATATGCAGTTGGTATGAGAGTTGAAACCTCTGTTCTAGGAAAAGCAAAGGAAATTTTTCTGCTCTCTCAACAGGGCCAAGATTTCCTTCAAGATGTTTTACATTCCTTCAGCAACAAATAATGTAACGACTAATTAACAATGCTTAGAAAGCATTTTCATTATGCAAAGTTTCAGTAAGCAACTAAGAGCTGTACCTTCCCAATGAGACATGTCGTCCTCTTTTTATGGATGCAGAAACAGAAAGATGTTCATGAACGTGCAGCAGGATGTGTTCAATGGTAAGAATAAAATGCAATATTTTGCACTATTAAGTCAGAACTGCGACCACTGGGTCCTGCTGCTGGTTATGGCCATAGTGCTACCCAGAGTCATAGGAGAGGAGCCCCGGGGGCACTAACAGGCCTTACTGGGCCTGCCCAGCCCCACCTTGGGCCTCCCCACACCCCTGCCCATGGCCCAGGACCCCATTTCAGCTCAGCCTGGGGTCATCAGTACCTGCCCAAGTGGCACCACAGGAGTGCCGGTCTCCAGCCATGCTTCCTGGATGGACCACTCGAATGCATGTTGTAGCTTGTCTCCAGTTGTGTCCCTGATCTCATCCCCTTTTGCTCCTGGTTGGGCCCCCTGGATGGCCCCTGGTCCTGGTTTATCACCCGCCATGATGGGGGCTGTTGATGGACCCTGTTATCAGCCCCCAGTTCTGTACCTGGGCTCAGCCCCTGCAGGGTGGTGCCCAGAGTCCCCTAACAAGAGACTGGACAAAGATCCCACAGAAAGTCCTAGAAATGCCCAACTGTCCTCTTATCCTGATACAGAAATAAAATAATAATTTTTAAAAATCCCCAAATCTTGCTTCTCTGGCAACCAGGTGGAATACATCCACCTTCTTGTCAATGCAGAGGAGGAAAATACCTCTGCTTTGTAGAGACCCCAGAATATGTAATGAAAAGGGGAAAACATGGAGGAGATAGCTAGTCTAAATATTGGAGCATTACTTGGATTTCCTGCTCTGGGCTTACAAAACACAGTTTCAGATTTGAGTAGAAGGTATTTTAAACAGCAACAACTGTGTGAGAGCAGCTGCATGCAGGCATGAGGGAGAAAGGCCGCACGTGCTGAGAGTAGGACCGGCACCGCCAGCCACTGCTTCCATCTGTACCGCGATAAAGAACCAGCAGCTTATGTATGATGTGAGGCAGCTCTGCTAGAGAGAATGCATAGTGTTTAGGATGCAAGGAAGCAATCTCATGTCTTCTGCAGACAGCATCCAGCATTTAGAAACTATATAATGCACTAAAATTTCAGACCTCTGCCACCAATGAGTGAGTTGTCTTCTTTTCCACATCATTTGTTCCAGAGATCAGCAGTGAACTGTGGTGACCCATGGAAATAAAATGCAGGGGATGGAAGGTGTCAGGAACCACTGTATCAACAGGTGATGAGAAAATGAGTACCGCTATAATTTCAGGCCCTTCACAGAAGCGCAGCTGCATAATATCTATCCCAGCTTACCTAAAATAAAATTAGTTCCCATAGCTCCTAAGAGTGTGCCATTAACACAGATCTTTTTGCTGATCTCTAACTCAAGCAGACAGAGAAATGCTCAAGCCAGTGACTTACATAAATGTCCGTAAATACTAAAAGAATTGTCAGGACTTACAATGGCTTAATTTGTCCCTGACTTCCTCCAACTTACAGTCAAGAGTTGAAATAAAATCGCTCTGGTAAAGGAGTTTAGAAGAGGAAATATTAAGCTTACTTTAACTCAATACACTGCATTAAAAATACACCAATGTTTCTATTGACGTCCACAGGGTCCCCTCTACAAATATTCTACTACAGTTCTCCAAAGACTTCCTAATGCAGTGAAGAGAGTTCCTTGTATTTACAGGAAAAAGTAAGAAAACCCCCTAGCTTTATTCATATCGAGGGTTCAATTTATAACTGAATCCATGCATGTAACGGTCTGGATGCTGTCTATGCGGTGAAAGATGTACGTACACTTTTAATTCTGGGTCTGTTTTCAGCCTCACTGAACTCAAGAGAGATACATTTAAGCACACTCCTTAAATCTCTGCGTTGGTGGAGCACTAACTCGCCGCCTGTGCTCCCTGACGGGGGCCCTTTACAGTTCCAGAGAGCTGATTTAATGACAGTGAACACCCCAGTAATAAAAAACTCACATATTTTTAGATAAGGGGAGAAAAATAGAAAACTGCAAAGATGAACTTTGCTTTTATGGTATAGAAAATAATGAAAAAATAGATTTAATGAAAACACAGTCATTCTGGGTTAACCCCCCTACTTTCTGTAATCCGTATTAGTGAATTATAATACTGGGATTGATATAGGCAGTTAGTTACCGAAAACATCACTCTAATTTACTCTGTAGTCCCATACCTGACATAGCAGATGAAAAAGGAGATGATGTTTCTGAACAAAAATGCTTGTGACTGAGAAGCAAATAACAGCAGATTTCTCTGAGGACCTTGAATGGTGAGCCATCTCAGGGTGTTGCTGACCAAGGCTCCTAAACCTCGGCCAGCTTTTGAACTGGCGCACACAACTCTAGCATATTTTTAAAAACCCACAAAACTGGCAGAGTTTAGTTTGTTGCCCTCTACAGAAACACTACTGAAGCAAATCACCGATGACATTAATTTTACTAGTAAGAAACCCTAAATGTTTTTAGTAAAACTGTAGGAAGTCTCAAGCAAACCCCCATGCCCTCCATCCCCCTTCAAAAAACTCAAGGTAAGTTAAAGACTCCAAGTGTTTGTTCTCTACAGAAACAAACCCCCAATCTTAAACTATTTTGCTCTTTGAAACTAAACTAACAACAGAAGTCTGTAAATATTTTAAAATACTTTGATATTTGAAGTCAATATTACTGTTAGAAAAAGTAAGAATGTATGGAAAATGTATAGTTAAGCTAACTCAACATCCTTTATTTTCCCCATTTACTGTTGCCTTCCCACCTGGCACGTTCTTTGCATTTTTCGTGCTTTTTTCTTTTAGCATAGAAGACATTAATAAAAGCAAGAACAATTTTGTTCATCAAAAGGACAAAAGAACCCTACAAAAGGGGAAAAAAAATAGTTCAGGGTAGATTTACGCTATCTGGGGCGCCTTTTCCAAACTTCTTTTGTTAGCATTGATAATGAGTTAAAGTTTATGATATATTGCCCCATATAGGCAGATTTTTCTATCTCCTCTCTCTCCCTGTTAGGCAAAGTACTTTTTTTTTCTGAATTCCGATTAAAGAGGAAACAAGGAGGCAATTTTAGCAATAAAAGTTTTACAGCTATCTGACTGCTGTGGAAAGCAGGGAAACAACATGAGAAGGAACGAGGTGTCCCCCTTCTGTGCCCAAGTTTTTTCACAGATCTCATGGCAACGATTCAGTATCTTCCCCCACAGGGCACATAGGACTCAGAAGCTATATCTGAGCATGCTCAGTCAATGGCTTGAGCTCCTAGGAAAGGAGGAGCAGGAGAATCCTGGCTGTCAGAGTAGATACCTCTTTCTCTTTTTTCTGCTCTGTAAGCCTTTTGCCTCATGCTAATGAAAATATTTCAACTCTACAGTGCTGGGGGACAAGCTGCAGATGTGTTAGTGATACACAAAATAATGAATGGTCCAAGGAAGGAAACACAGACACACACAGTTATCTTTTCACCCAATGAAACATAATAGTCTGAAGGGAAACAGAAAGATGGCCACCTAGAGTTGGGTTAAAGGAAATCCTTCACCCCTTTCACCAGGGAAAGTCATTATCAGATATTATTACTGAAGCCAAAAGGTTGGAGGAATACAGAAAAGGATGAGCTGTTTATTCAGGAAATGCAAGTGCTTAGTCGTACTACAAAGCATCCTAAAAACAAAATATAAGTCTTTGTGCTTCAGGTTATTGCCCATCTTAAAATAATAGCAGAGTAAAAGAAAATGTCTTCCCTGCACAAGTCATTCTTTCTTACTTCCCTGTGTGGTTTCTTAAAGCATATGTTTCTGGCTGCTACCTGAAATACTGCACTGGAATAGGGAGAGCATTAGTCAGAACAGAAATAGCAATTAAGTTTTTATGTTCTTCATTCTGAAAAGACAGGGTAGAGTCTGCAATTCTTGTTGCTTATTTTTCCAAATTACTCATGAGAAGTCACAGAATGATCCAGGCAGGCTCAGACTAGCATATTACAGAGTACATATTATAGAGAGCATATAATAGAAAGCTGCATAAAATATTTTCATCAGACTTTATATATAAATTCAACTTTGATTATTATAATGACACTAAGCATTGAACTTTAAAGGCTATGCTGATTAAATTGATCTAGGAAGTCCAGCATAATTTATCAGCACTCTCCTGTACAAATGACTCAACTACTGCCTACTGCCAGCCTTTTAACAGTCCTAAAACCCAAACCACAGAAGGTCTGTTACTAATGAAATATAGTAATGACTAAATTTATAAAAGAAAAATTAGATGGACGAACTGTGCAAGAAGCAGATGGGTTTCTGCTTCCCTAGAGATAGGGTTTAATTTGTTATATACTTAATCTTAGTCCTGTCATGGTTTAAGGAAATAGGATATTTCTATGCAAATTTGTCAGTGGATTCTTTGTTACTTTTACATTGTGTTTAAAGGAAGTTGAACCTGTTTCTGAGCAAGGTCCTGAAAATGATTGCCGAGGTCTTCTGCCCAGCCTTGGGGAAACATAATCATATACCCATGTTCAAGTTATAACGTTGCCAGGCTGACTCACAATTTTTACTAAAGCAGATCTCGGTTCAGGATGTTGTGGAGAGCTAGCAAAGAATTGGTATGCATTAAAACCTTATTAGAAAAAGAGTTGTTCAGCTGGTCAGTTGGGATTTGTCCTTGACTTCCAGAAATTGATTTTTGAGTCTTGCAGGTGACTCTGAAAGGTTGAGGGCAGACCTGTGAAGTGTCGCTGTTGATGTGAGCTGTGGCAGCTCCCATGGGTCTCAACCTTAGTGTGGACTCGTGACAGAGGATGGGCCAGTCAACACAGCTGTAACTGAGCAGTTGAATACCTGGGCTGGATTGCCCAAGGCAGCTGGCCATGGCCAGCAGCTAGTGTGTCTTACCCACACCAGCCCACGACGCTGTCTGGGCTCAGACTCACCTCTACTCTCTTTGGACATGTGTCACTGCACTGGTGAGAGGAGTGTGTCCCAACTTCTGACAGTGAGCCACATATGCCCACTTAATTAAAAAAAAAAAACACCAAAACGCACCAAATCTTTGATCAATTATTCTTACGTAGTCACCACAGGCAATACCCACAGAAACCATGCAAGGGACCAGGGCTGTCAGTAGGAAACTGCATCCTTGCATCACTCTGCAACTCAAGGCAGTGATTTAGTTATGCAAGGAAGAAGTGGGCACACCACAAAGGATGGTACAGCACAGATAGTTACTGAAATAGTAAACAACATGATCACATGTATCCGATCTGTCTGGGCACAGCTGTTTCACAGCTGGAAAATACACCTCTGCAAGGTGAAAATCTCCCACAAACCTGTGTTTCTGCCAAAACCATTTTTCCTGTCTGTTTTAAGTAGCTTAATATATCTCCTGACAGAACAAGACCTTGCTCAGCACAAGCCAGGAATGAAATCAAAAACAGCCGCAGCAC